AAGGTGAAAGAAGAAAGCGCAAAAGCCGGGTTGCAGCTAAACATCAAAAAAAACCAAGATTATGGCAACAAGAATGATTGACAACTGGGACATAGAGGGAGAAAACGTGGAGGCCGTGACAGACTTTGTATTTCTAGGTGCAAAGATTACTGCAGATGCAGACTGTGGCCAGGAAATTAGAAGACGCTTACTTCTTGGGAGGAGAGCAATGTCCAGTCTCGATAAAATAGTAAAGAGTAGAGACATCAGACTGGCAACAAAGATCCGCCTAGTCAAAGCCATGGTATTCCCTGTAGTAACCTACGGATGTGAGAGCTGGACCTTAGGGAAGGCTGAACGAAGGAAGAGATGCTTTTGAACTGTGGTGTTGGAGGAAAGTTCTGAGAGTGCCTTGGACTGCGAGAAGATCCAACCAGTCCATCCTCCAGGAAATAAAGCCCGACTGCTCATTGGAGGGAAGGAGACTAGAGACAAAGTTGAAGTACTTTGGCCACATCATGAGGAGACAGCAAAGCCTAGAGAAGACAATGATGCTGGGAAAGTGGAAGGCAAAAGGAAGAGGGGCTGACCAAGGGCAAGATGGATGGATGGCATCCTTGAAGTGACTGGACTGACCTTGAAGGAGCTGGGGGTGGTGACGGCCGACAGGGAGCTCTGGCGTGGGCTGGTCCATGAGGTCACGAAGAGTCGGAGACGACTGAACGAATGAACAACAAGCAAGCTGGAGGTTAAACCACTCGCATAATAGTTTCACACAGTGTATATAACCTATACATGTGTGTGTGTTTCATATAATCTTTACTGTTTAAATCAGGTTTGGAATTTCCCCTTTTACACTTTTTATGCACCACAGTTGATTCTTATGTGATGGGGTTCATCACAGATATCATTGTCAGCAGATTTTCTTTACTTAATTAGAAACGTATCCATTTTAGTGCTGCTTACTGCAAGTCAATCAACAAATAGTGCAAATTATAAACATTATAACAGTACCTACACTTGAACAGCACCAGCACTCCACTTCTGTAAGCATTAAATCTCTCTGGAAGTGTTTAAATGGAGACTGGATTGCCATCCAGGGATGCTTTGATTGTGTGTTCCTTCCTGACTGAAAGGGGCTTGACTAGATGCCCTTGGGGATCTCTTCTAGTTCAGTTTTCTTCTCTGGAGGCCTTTGAACTGAGGCTGGATGGATGCCTATTGGGAGGGCTTTGGGTAGTTTTCTGCTTGGATAAAAGAGGTTGGACTAGATGCCCTTTGTGGGTCCATTCTTCCTCCTCCTCACTCTCTTTGTTTGTGAAGGTAGGAAAGGGAGGGAACATTTTTCAGACAACACACCTAGGAACCACAGGTGGCACACTCCTGTGTCCTGACACACTTACTTACTTACTTAGGCGATCCTTCATAGTCCGAGGATGATGGTCCTCCAAGTGTAGTGTCCTGGCAGTGGGTCTGTAGGTGACTGTTGAACCCTATTATTGATCTGCATCTTCTCCCACAGTGAGGGCATAGGTTACCAGGTGGAAGGCAGTTCCGGTCAGGGTTGGCTTGATGCACCTTCCTCTTGGCGCCTGACACACAGTTTGGAAAGCTCTGTTATAAAGTATAGGAGAGGAGCCCATGGTGGGCAAGCAGCCCCAGAAATACAGAAATGTAGCCATTCAAACTGGTTCAAATTATTAAAGTCAAGTCCTTCCAAGAAGTGATTCAAACCACAACTTTGATCATGATTTAACTCAATTCATACCCAATTTCAGCTACTGTTTTTCATAACAACAACTTTATTTATACCCTGACACCATCTCCCCAAACGTGGCTCATAAAAATATTTTATAATGCAAACATACAAATACAGAAAATGCATAAACAATTACACAATATGCAGTTCAACAAATGCAATCCTTTGTACTTTCTTTTGGACCTTTAGGGGAACCTAACCCCCAATTTTAACAGTTTTGGACTGATTTTACGGTCCCAAACTGAAGCAATTTGGGCCACTCATCCTCTCCTTCAAAATGATGCAGTGCTAAAAAAAATAAAATTAAAAGAACCCCCCAAAGCTTCCAGAGGCACTCACCAGAATTGGCATGAAAACACCTTGGTGTGTTCTAATGCACTGATGCAACTGGAAGCATTTGAGGAGTTTGGAAATTTTCCCTCTTTCCTATTGTCCAACTTTCATGTAATGGGCAGTCATTAGGTATTTTGAAGGGGGTCTACTGATAGCTTAAACCAGGGATCCTCAAACTAAGGCCCGGGGGCCGGATACGGCCCTCCAAGGTGATTTACCCGGCCCTTGCTCAGTGTCAGCTAAGTCTAAATCGACTTGAGAGCACACAACAACAACAACAACAATCCTATCTCATCAGCCAAAAGCAGGGCCACACTTCCCATTGATATACTAATAAGTTTATATTTGTTAAAATTGCCCTTCATTTTAATTGTTGTATTGTTTTAAAGTGTTTTTTTTTTTGCACTACAAATAAGATATGTGCAGTGTGCATAGGAATTCATGTTTTTTTTCAAATTAGAATCCGGCCCTCCAACAGTTTGAGCGACTGTGGCCTGGCCCTCTGTTTAAAAAGTTTGAGGACCCCTGGCTTAAACCATAAAAAATCCTAAACATCACCACCACAAATGGTGAAATTGAATGGAGAATATCCTCTGATGTCCTATAACAGGAGGTTCTGCAAGTTGGATGCTAATACTGAGAAGACCTTTTCAATCTCTATTTGCTCTTTGGATGATGGCAGAACATAAGGTCTCCTCCAGAGCTGGGATCATAAGGAACATACGATGATCTTTTAGCCATCCAAGCTTCAAATGATTTATGTTTCAGAACGAATGCCAGTTTGAACTGGGATCAGAAATGTAAATGGAATTCTATCGACAGATGTTTGCTTGCTTCATCCAGGCATTATAATAGTAGAGGTAGGACATGTTTGTGCATGCATTGATATAATTCCATGTATACCAAGATCTGAAGATATTCCTTTGTAAAAGTGGTTTTTATTGGCACAGTTGGCTAGATATAGCTGTTTTTGTTTCTTGAAAGACAGGATTCAAAGAAAACTTCAGGGAGATTCCTCTTGTGTTGCAGAATCAAGGCTCTAATGCAGATATTGAAGTTTTGTCCTGCCGTCTCTTAACGGGAGTTTGGTTGAAATATGCAGCTAGACGTGTTTTGCATGTTTTGCGTGGATAGTAACCACCCACAATTTCAAGGTTAGACTTGAAAAGAACACCAAATGTGATCTTATGGCCATACATTCATTAGACCTAATACATAGGCACAAAATGCTTCATACCAGTCTTAAAAGTTTGCAGGCCAAGATGTAGGAAGGTGTTGCGGTTACAGTATCTCTACATGCAGTTATCCTTCCCAGTTCACTGGGTTAAAGGACTCATTGAAAGTTGGAAAAACTGCTAATACATAAACTGTTTTTTTAAATATCTCTTTAGGAATTCCTAAGCCTTCCAGTGCAGCTATATGGTCAACTTCTACTGGACATTAACCATAATATGCTGGAGAACCTGCAAATGCCTAGGAATATATTCTGTCAAGGAGTCTCTAGGTTCTCCAGCACAAGTTGTCTGTAGAATGACACTGGAAGACCTAAATGTTTCTAGAGAAAACGTATTAAGCCAATCTGTGAATATAATAATATCTACATAAATGTGTAGGGCCAACTGTAATTGCTTTAGGATATTGAAGAGGAAGTGTTTGTATACATCAGGGATGAGCAGAGGATGGTCTGTAGGCCCCTCTCCAAGAGAGATTGTGAGAGATACATTTTCCCCTTGGATTTCTTATGTATGTATGTATGTATGTATGTATGTATGTATGTATGTATGTATTTATTTAGAGTATTTGTATCCCGTCCTTTTCAACCCCTGAAGGGGAACTCGGGACGGCTTGCAATTGGCAGTCATTAGATAAAGAAACAGAACACAACAATTAACACAAATCAACAACTATAAAAATACATTAAAAAGGAAAAAAAAACCCACATTAAAATATTGGCCCTTAAAATATTAACACAACCAAGTCTCAGTCCATAAATCATAGTCCAGAGTTCCAGTCCAAAGTCTCTTAATTAACAATTCTCACAAGTTATTACAGTTGTTGCTCAGCCAGCTGCCCAAACGTTTAGTCCAAAAGCCAAGATTTGAGTTTCTTCCTGAGGGAGAGGACAGAAGAAATCACCCTGATTTCACTGGGGAGTGTATTCCACCAATGGGGGCCACGACCGAGAAGGCCCTGTCTCTCGTCCCCGCCAATCACGCTTGCGAGGGTGGTGGGATCGAGAGCAGGGCCTCTCCTGATGATTGTAAACTCCAAGGTGGGTAATAGAGGGAAATATGTTTGGACAAGTATTTATCTCCAGTAACAACAAATAATGTCTACTGTGCAATTCCATACATGTCTGCTCAGAAGAAATAATTACGAAATAATTTCAAAATAGATATGAAATAATTACGAAATAAATTGAAAAAATTGTTTCGAATCTAATTTATTCCTCACACTATTCCTGCATGGCTCAATACTGGATCGTAAGCTAATTTAAATACGAATTAATAACGAATTCCGAAATTAACGAACGAAACCGCCCAAGCCTAATATGTACCACACTAATACGGAAAAACCACTCCAAAATATTGTTGAAGGCATTCATGGCTGGAATCACTGGGTTTTTGTGTATTTCTGGGCTGTCTGGTCATGTTCTGGATGCATTCTCTCCTGACGATTCATATGCATCTATGGCAGGCATCCTCAGAGGTTGTGAGCCCGGAAAACACACAACAACCCAGTGCTCCAAAATAGTTGCCGAGCCATCTTTCTCAACTTAATATTTTATAAACAGAGTTTGTTGAGCAATAAATATTTTCCCACTTCATGAAGTACCATTGTGTTCCTATTTTAGATTGAGAGGAAGGTGTTAAAAGTATTGTTTTAACTCTAGTTTATGGAGACAACTTCTGCATGTCTTTTTCCTCAGGATGTGGTAACTATCGCCTCCTTTCCAGTATACGGCCAGAGGCTGGTTGAACAAGGGTAAGGTATGCTGTTGTTTTTCCATAGTGACTGGCTCTTAAAAGGAAATGGCTTTCCTGTTTCTTTGCAAAAGCAAAGCTTCTCAAAGCAGTTGAGGCCACAGCGGGAAGGTAACCGGGAAGATGGAATGTGAGAAATTTGGTCTCATTGGAAACTCACATCTTATAATGAATAATGGAGTGATGCTCCCTAGATTAAAAAGGGGGTCTGTAGCTTAAATGCGAAGCATATGCTTATTGTGTCCAATGTTCAATATATTGTCGAAGGCTTTCATGGCTGAAATCACTGGGTTTGCGTGCTAAGGATGCCAGCCACAGATGCAGGGTGAAACGTCAGGGAAAATGCTGCTGGAACATAGCCATACAGCCTGGAAACCACACAACACCCCAGGCCCAATGTTCCTTTGCCAGAAATATATTCCGTAGGGCTTTGCAATTGATGGAAAAAAAAGAGTTTTAAATGTCATGACAAAATTAGGAGGTGCTGGCATTTCGTTTCTAAGGTGTTTCTAAAGTACAATTAGTGAAAATTTCATTACTATAATGAAATTTTGTTACTTTTTTGTTATAGTAATTGTGCAACTTCCAGGGCTCCTTACTCCCTCATTTCTACAGCTATCGGGGTGAAACTTGCTACAATGGTAGAATACATTTATCACTGTGAGCCCATTAAGTTTCAGAACGTTTCCCTTATCCACAAAGGTTTGGAGAATTTTCAAAGTTTTTATAAACAAAAAAACTACAAGAGCGATCTTCTTGAATTTTCTATACAATGACACAAGATAATATGATCATTTTCCACAACTTTCAGAAATATTCATACATCTACTGATTTTAGGATTTTTAAAAAAAGTTTTGACAAAAACCTTCTTTTAAAAAGTCAGCAGCAGCTATCTCGTTGAATGTCTCTCCCTCTCTCTCATATAAACCAACAGAACTTCCACTGAGGAATTTTGTCCGAGCGCAGTACAGAGATTACTTATTAGAAGTCTCAGCCAGTCCTCCTCTTTGCAGATTCAACCATTCAACCATCCATTTTAGTTAAGGGCAGGTCCTTTTGCATTCTCTGCCATAGGGCTCCTCGCCTTCCCAAACTACATTTCCCAGAATCCTGTGCTTTCTTGGTTTCTTTCCCAGTGAACCCTGCTTTCTCCCTGTTGCTTCCCTTTCCTTGTGGTGAGAAGCCATTGAGAGGAAAGGCAGCTTTTTTGGCTTTGCTTTGGTTCCTTGCACTGAACATGAAACCGATTTTGGGAGGCTTCTGAGATTTACAAAAAGCAAACGAAAAAGTATTGTGTAAGTTTCTATACTTAAGTTTTTGGCATGTGTCGATTATCATGTCGTAAATACAAATTTAAAAACTTTGATCCAACTTTTGATGACTAATGATAATTTTGCACACCCATATTCAGACACAACTGGGAAAGACCTTCTCAAAACCCTGCTCCAGGTTTAGCAGCCTGTATGGACTTGTGATGGGATTCAATACAGGGCAACTTTCTCAATGGGAGACTTACTGGTGCTATCTGCTTTGCTTCAGCATGAGGTCCAGAGCTGGGCATGCTAATAATAATAATAATAACAATAATAACAATAACAACAACAACAACACTTTATTTGTACCCCGCTACCATCTCCCCAAAGGGCTCGGTGCGGCTTACATGAAGCCGAGCCCAAATACAACAATACAAGCAAAACAACAACTGTACAAGCAATTAAAATAAAAACATAGACAATAAAATATACAACATTATCAATAAGACAGCACACAATTAAAAACAGTGGGAAGGCCAAATGTAAAGTTAAAATGGAAATAATGCATGCTCCCTTTTCCTGTTATAAGGTGGCAGAAGAAAACAGGGGTACCCTAAGCTGCCTTTTTTAATTGAGTTGTGTTGTGGTGTATTTTAAAAAACCCAATACTGTCGCCAAACTGGATTTGGAAGCAGTGTAGAATGGCCCCTTCCTTCACTCCACCAGAGCAGGGTTGGGAAAGCTAGAGCTGTAATGCCACGTGTGGACCCTATTCTCATCGTGTTTGAAATCACTTAACCCCTAACATATTTTTGATAGGAATAAGGTCAAGCTGGGGTAGTGATTCTCACAGAGAAATAGCAGGCAACTCCTCGGGATGAGCGCTTTGTCAAATAAAGTCCCATAGGAACGAGAAACAGCAGGCAATATACACCCCGGTTCCTGGAGCAGGCTTTGTTGGCCAGACTTGAGATATATGTACAATTGGATCTATATCTTTATCAGACTGGAAAAGTGTGCTGGGAAGACTTTGCTAACATTGAGAAGATTCCAGACTTTTCTACAGGCCTTCTGCTTACATTGGTGGCTTCCATGTCAGTGCAGTACTCTGGGTTTTAGTCTGAACTTTAAAAAAAGTTACTCATGTTATGACCCTCTTTTGAGGATAGTCTTCACCCATTTGGTTATCCCAGAGGGAGAATCGACAGTTGCGTAACAGGGACCTTATGTGCTGATGTCAATGGGACTTCTAATGTAGATTGTCTCCTGGTTATAAGATGGTAACTGCTGAATGAATAGAAGGTTTTGTGTTGTATCCTTCATTTAGAAAGTGCAAGCTCTTGCTGTAAATGGGAAAGGAAATATCCTGTTTATCTTCCTTTTGCCTTCTGTTGCTAGGCAGTTGCTAATGCCCTTAAAGAAATCATGGTTTCCAATTTGCTCTGTGAATTGATGCAAATGGAAAGGGAAGTGTCCTTGATCCCAAAGTGACCACATGCTATTTTAAGTGTGCCCTTTCAGTCCCTTCTCAAATGGACCCAAAGGGGAACTTGTCTTGTTGGTGGATAGTGCTCACCAGGGTAACTTGGCCGTAGCCTCAGGAAAGAGCCTGAAAAAGTAACCGCAACAAGTGATAAACTCAGCACTGCTCAGCCAACAGGCCCACTGGCCTTCCCCGAATGCGAATGTGCCCCAGGAGAGACCTTTTCCACCCACAGCAGCATGGCTACCCTCCATTTTAGGTGAATCATTTTACAGTATTTGGGAATTCCCATCATGTTCTGCCTTGGAGGAAACCAAACTAGTTCACCCCTGGGCTATTTTTACCTTCACAAGATGCGTAGGATAAAAGACTCAATTTCCTTCCTAGTAACAGTAAAACTTGCCTTTGGGACTGTGTTTGTTGTTGACACTGGGACACATGAGTAACACTACCTATTTTGAACGAGAATCTGTTTGTGCATTTCTCAGAGATGTTCCAAATCTGTGTTCCTTTCGTAACATTGCAACTAACCCTGTTTTCTTTCTCTCCATGCCTCTCCTTCACTACTTTAGGATTTGGTGAAAAGGTTTAAAACCCGGGATATTGCGGTGCTGTTGTAAGCTTGAGTTGACTATGGATCTGGAGAAGTCTTCCGTTTGGGGGTCATTCAAGCAAAGGACAAAGCCGTTATTACAAAATCTGAGCATCAGAAGGACTAAGAAGACCACAACTAAGGTGGTGGAGAGAAGGCAGAGGCACCCCTTAGACCGCCGACTTAGTTCTTCTGTGCCCGATATGCTGAATGTAGAAACTGTTATTGAAGAAGAAACAAATTATTCCCGTTCCAAAGCCTTGTCCACTTACTTCCCAAGTGACTTTTCTGCGACGGACGTGTTCCTTCACAACTCAAATGGCTCTTCCTTGAAAGAAACTGGAGAGGAATGGGAACGGGGCCAAAAGGAGATGGCACATTTGGAAAGAGGGGAGAACGACACGGGGAAACCGGTCATCTGCATCCAAGGTTCAGAAGCCAAGAGGAATTCCAGTGATGATTTCTTTGATCTGTTACAAAGAAGTAGTTTCAACAGTGACCTTGCAGAAGATGCTCTTGAGGTAATGCCTATCGCGTTGAACAAATCTTCACCAGATAAACAAACCCTAAGATTAGATTGTGTGGGTACAGCAACGATGGCAATATAGTTTATCATGCGAAACTTATTTTATCATCCATCATTTTTCAGTTTGCTTGATGGGCCTCTGACTGATCAGACCTTTGATTAACACACTCCAGTGCATGGCTGTATTTGGAGGAACTCCAACAATTAAAAAATGGCAAACTGTAGAATGAATGCAGTTTGATGCCAGTTTAACTGTTATGGCTAAATGTTACGGAGTCATGGAAGTTATAGTTTGACTGGAGGTAACTTTTAGATTTTTTCTTTTGTCAGAATATTTACTTATAGCAGTGGTTCTCAACCTTCCTAATGCCGCGACCCCTTAATACAGTGCCTCACATTGTGGTGACCCCCAACCATAAAATTCAGAAAGGGGTGGGGGGTGGGCAGAAAGGCTGTGCTCATGGCAAGGCCGTGAGCGCAGCCCTCCGCCTGGCCCCTGCACCCTTCTGAATTGCCCGCCCCCCACGCCCCCGGAAAGGCATGGGGGGGGGGTGGGCAGTCCTCTCTTGCCAAAACTGCAAGAGTCGGCAGCCATTTTGGAGGGGGCGGGGCCAACCAAGGCAGCTTCGCAACCCCCGAAAATGGCCCAATGACCCCCCTGGGGGTCGCGACCCCCAGGTTGAGAACCGCTGACTTATAGCATAGAGTTTTATTACTTCTTTTCCTTGCTCTATCCGGGGGAAAAAAGTATTGACACAGCCTTTTAGGCATCTCCAGCTGAAACTTTGGTTGGCTTAAATGTAAGTGTTAAACAAACGACCGAGATTAAGGTTATCATGCTTTGCCTGTGCTTCATAGGAACACGTTTCACTGAACAAAGTGAGACTTATCTCTTAGCAAATACAATCACTAATTCACAGTAAACAAGTATGATGTAAGACTGAAAAAAATATAATCAAGTGAGGCAGGCAACTCGGTGCCCTCTAGAATGTTTAGCACTTGGAGTTCTCTCCTTTGCATGAAAACATGGCCAATGTTCAGGGATGATGGGAACTGGAGTCATTCAACTTATCATAGAATCATAGAGTTGGAAAAGACCTCATGGGCCATCCAGTCCAACCCATGCCAAGAAGCAGGAATATTTCATTCAAAGCACCCCTGACAGATGGCCATCCAGCCTCTGTTTCAAAGCTTCCAAAGAAGGAGCCTCCACCACACTCCGGGGCAGAGAGTTCCACTGCTGAACGGCTCTCACAGTCAGGAAGTTCTTCCTAATGTTCAGATGGAACCTCCTTTCTTGTAGTTTGAAGCCATTGTTCCGCATCCTATTCTCCAGGAAAGCAGAAAACAAGCTTGCTCCCTCCTCCCTGTGACTTCCTCTCACATATTTATACATGGCTATCATATCTCCTCTCAGCCTTTTCTTCTTCAGGCTAATCATGTCCAGCTCTTTAAGCCGCTCTTCATAGGGCTTGTTCTCCAGACCCTTGATCATTTTAGTCGCCCTCCTCTGGACATATTCCATTATGGAAGGGTTTGTAGGAATTTTTGGCATCTGTATCAAGCAGAGCTCAGCATAGCCAGTGCAAATGTGCTTGTGGTTTGAATAAAAATGATTTGTAATATTCGGTCATCTGTTTCATGTAATCTCCGAAAACAGAACAAGGAGGAGGGAGCTGAAAAGGTCACAAAATGGATTAAGAGAGCCAGATTGTATTGGCTACTGGAGAAGATAGAGTTAAGTGCAGTATATCTGAGGTAGAGGCTGTCCTGGAGAAGATTATTGCAGCGCCTTTTTCTCCCTCCCCGGCAGCAGCAGCGTCCATCCATTTCTTTTTGGAAAGTTTCCTAGGCTCCTCCTCCAGAGTTGTCCCTGCTGGGAACTTGCTTTCCCATCAGCACTTGCATAGGGTGGGCATTGAAACGGCTCTGAGTTCCTCTCGGAGCATGATGGGAGTTGAAGTTTTTTCTTCTTTTCTCTGTTTCTCAGCCAATAAAAAGCCTAGTTGTGTCCATGTTCTGATTGGCTGAGAATGGACACAACCTGCAACTACAATTCCCTCTCTTGCAGTTTGTCTTATTTTAAAAGATGTTATGATGAAAACTTAAAATAATTCTAAAAAATCAGTGGATTAGCAAATTGTTTTGAAACTTGTGGTTGTAGATGAGGTCTAAAACTGAGGTAGGTTTCATGCAGATAGGCCTTCAAATGACTGAGGATTGAGCCTTAAAGGTTCCCATTGTAGACGGAGATGCGGTCACGCAGGTAGGGTGGTCCCAAACCGTTTAGGGCTTTGTAGGTAAGCACCTGCACCTTAAATTGGGCTCGGAAAATAAACGGCAGCCAGTGGAGCTCCTTGAACAGGAGGGTTGACCTCTCTCTGTAAGGAGCCCCACTTAACATCCTGGCCGCTGCCTGTTGGACCAGTTGGAATTTCCGAGCCGTTTTCAAGGGCAGCCCCACGTAGAGCGCATTGCAGTAGTCCAATCTAGAGGTGACCAAGGCATGGACCAACTTCCCAGTAAATAGAATGACGAGTTAGCTGACAATGGATCTGGAAATGGTCAAAGTCTTTATGGTCATCTCTAGGTGCTCCAATGAGGTCCTGTGTGGGCTATCAAAATGGAAAGTGTGCAGTTATATTTTTCGCACTTATATTGTGAAACAGTAGAAGGAGAACTTGCAACTTGTTTAAAAGCTAAAGGGTTCCTCTTGGAGGACATCTTAATTTGGAGGCCAGAACAAGGTTGGTTTGAACATTTTGGAAGTATTGAGGGCTTAGTATTATTGACTTAGATCAGCGTTTCTCAACCTGGGGGTCGGGACCCCTGCAGGGATCATAAGGGGATGACAGGGGGGTCGCCAAAGACCATCAGAAAACACAGTATTTTCTGTTGGTCATGGGGTTATCGTTGGTAGGGTTCAGAATGCTCTTTGACTGTAGGTGAACTATAAATCCCAGCAACTACAATTCTCAAATGTCGAGGTCTATTTTCCCCAGTGGCAGTGTTCACATTTGGGCATATTGAGTGTTTGTGCCAAGTTTGGTCCAGATTCATCGTTGTTTGAGTCCACAGTGTTCTCTGGATGTAGATGAACTACAACTCCAAAACTCAAGGTCAATGCCCACCAAACCCTTCCAGTATTTTCTGTTGGTCATGGGAGTTCTGTGTGCCAGGTTTGGTTCAATTCTATCATTGGTGGTGTTCAGAATGCTCTTTGATGGTAGGTGAACTATAAATCCCAGGAACTACAATTCCCAAATGTCAAGGTCTATTTTCCCCAAACTCCACCAGTATTCAAATTTGGGCATATTGGGTATTTGTGCCAAATGTGGTCCAGTGAATGAAAATAAATCCTGCTTATCAGATATTTACATTACGATTCATAACAGAAGCAAAATGACAGTTCTGAAGTAGCAATGAAAATAATTTTATGGTTGAGGGTCACCATAACATGAGGAACTTGTGCGCCAGCTGCGCCCGTACCTTGGGAAGTCTGACTTGGCCATGGTAGTCCACGCTCTGGTTACATCCCGCTTAGACTACTGCAACGCTCTCTACGTGGGGTTGAAGACTGCTCGGAAGCTTCAAATGGTCCAACGTTCGGCAGCCAGGTTGCTAACAGGAGCGGCATTCAGGGAGCACACCACTCCTCTGTTGTGCCAGCTCCACTGGCTGCCAGTCTGCTACCGGGCACAATTCAAGGTGCTGGCTTTAGCCTATAAAGCCCTAAACGATTCCGGCCCTATTTATTTATTTATTTATTTATTTATTTATTTATTTATTTCTTATACTTGTATACCGCCGTTTCTCAGCCTGACCAGCGACTCAACGCGGTTTACAACAAGATAAAATCCACAACAATATACAATGTAAAACCACAAAGGCATAAAATACAATATTAATGTAACAYTAAACAACACCATACATCTCATAACTAAAATCATGATCCAGTTCGTCGTCCGATTTTCCAATTCCTGTAATCATCACATTGGTTGCACTGTTTAACCGAATGCTCGTTCAAATATCCAGGTTTTTAATCTTCTACGAAACATCATCAGCGAGGGGGCTGATCTTACCTCCATGGGGAGGGCGTTCCACAGCCGGGGGGGGGGCACCCTACTTACCTCTCCGAACGCATCTCCACCTATGAACCGACTAGGACACTAAGATCGTCTGGGGAGGCCCTGCTCTCGGTCCCGCCCGCATCACAGGCGCGTCTGGCGGGGACGAGGGACAGGGCCTTCTCGGTGGTGGCCCCTCGGCTGTGGAATGCCCTACCTGTGGACATCAGACAGGCCCCTTCACTGCTTGCGTTCCGGAGGAAGGTCAAGACTTGGCTTTACGAACAAGCATTTGGCTAAATAGTGCAATGGAATACAGGAAGATGGTACAACTGAACATAGGAATTGGTATAAAGGATTATGATTACAGATTCTGATTCTGATTTGTTGCTGAGGCACTGTGATTACGATAGTGATTGTTTTTTGACCTTGTATGTCATGTATAATGTGTTTTAATTGCCTTTTTCGATATTGTTGTGATAACCTTTATTATGTAAACCGCCTTGAGTTGCCATTTCGGCTGAGAAAGGCGGTATAGAAGTAAAGCAAATAAATAAATAAATAAATAAACTCTATTAAGGGGTCACGGCATTAGGAAGGTTGGGAACCACTGACTTAGATGAACCATTAACGCTGGGTTAAGATAGAAAAATGATCTAAAAAACAGCAGTTTCCTGTATTCCAATCTTATGGAGATATGAGCACGGGACACCAGCAAGGTTAACCTATGCGATTGTATGCCAGCTTTCCATCCATGATGATTGGCATCCCATCTGACAGATTCTCTCAAGACAGTCAAGATAAGCCATTGTTTTTTTCCTCAGCCTTCCTCTGACTTTGTACTTGGGCACTGAAATATTGAGCGATAGCAGTACAATATGATAGTAATATAATACAACCTCCCTTTGATAAACCTCTGTTTGTTTTTGGCAGCATTCTTTCAGTGGCTCCAACCTTGACTCATCGTGTTCCTCGCAGGGCTTTGATGGCCAGTGTGTAAGTGGTTTAATTTTTTTATATAGGTAGTGAATTTCAGAGTATAGGTCAAGTATGGGCATGAACTGAAAATATTGGGCGCAGCTTCCTGCAAACTTTTTGTTTGTGCGGACAATTGCTTTGTCGGATTTGCTATTGGAGCTTGTATCTACATGGTGGGATTAGAGATAAAAGAATAGATTTCAGAGGAAAGGCTGGGTTTTTCTGTAGCTGGGTTTTCATGTTTGTTTCAGTCAAGTTTGGCTCTAGCTAAACCTTATTCCTCAGTAAGAAAGCATGTTTCAACACATTGCGATAACTTATGGTCAGGAACTATTCACTGTGAAATGTTTCACGTTTTGTGGCTTACACAAGAGCATTTCACCATTTTTGTGCAGAAAGCTGATGTTTGCACACACATTAAATTTTCACAAATGAATTCCAAAATGTTTTTAAAAATCATAACAATATGCAAAAGCTTCCTAAGTTCACCAAATAGAGGTGTGTGTGTGTGTGTGTGTGTGGGCAGGGGGTAGACAGTTTTCTGAATTATTTTGATTTTGAATGAGAATGAAATGAGAATAGATTTATATCCTTAAAGGTTTCCCCTTGACATTAAGTGTAGTCATATCCAACTCTGGGGGTGGTGCTCATTTCCATTTCTAAACCAAAGAGCCGGTGTTGTCTGTAGACACCCCTCAAGATCATGTGGCCAGCATGATCGCATGGAATGCCGTTACCTTCTCGCCAAAGCGGTATCTATTGATCTACACACATTTACATGTTTTCAAACTGCTAGGTTGGCAAAAGCTGGGGCTAACAATAAGAGCTCATCCTGTCCGCGGATGTGAACCGTCAACCTTCTGATCAGCAAGTTCTTTTTTTTTTTTATTTATTTTTATTGATTTATCACTTTATTACATACTATTACATTTTGTACATCAACCTCTTTAACATGTTATTTTATTATTTTACTCTGACATTTCTCCCTCTTTTTCTTTTTTCCTTTTCCCACCACAGTGCTCCCCTCCACCCGTCTCAAGCCATATTTCTTACATTTCATCTGTCCAAAATTTCATTTCGTCTTGTGACGGTAATTTTCCTTCCTTATTTTTTAATCCATTTACCACAAATTTTCCCCATACAGCATCAAAATCGCTTTGTTTCCATATACCTTTTTTAACCTTTAATATACATGTCAATTTATCATTTATTGCTATTTTCCATGCTTCTTTATACCACTCCTCTATTTGTATATTCATTTCTTTTTTCCAATTCCTTGCTATAAGCAGTCTTGCTATAGTTAGTAAGTTTGTTATCGCTTCTTTATCCTTTTTCAATTGCTTATTGTTATATAATGATAGTAAGGCTATACTAGGACTTTTATCTATTTTTATATTCATTATAGTTTCTATTTCTCTAAATACTTTCTCCCAAAAATTATTTACATATTTACATTGCCACCACATGTGTATATATGTTCCTGGTTCTTGACACCCTCTCCAACAATTTATTGAGTTATTTTTACTCATATATGCTATTCTTACGGTGTCAAGTACCACTTCCATATTAACTTGTAATAATTTTCTTTAACTCGTATCGATAAATTTTTTAAATGTCTTTGTCCCCATAATTGTTGCCACTCTATTTCGCTTATTTTTATCCCTAAATCCTCTTCCCAAATCTCTTTAAGGGTGCACTTTTTTGTTTTTTCATCTTTCATTTCAATTAATATCTTATAAATTTTGCTAATTATACCTCTCAAGTTTTCGTGTTCTTCTACAGTCCTTCCCTTCTGTATTATTTGTTCGAATTGACTGAGTTGGCTTTCACTTCTATTATTTTTTTTCCAATTTATTACCCATTGT